CATGTGTAAGGGAATTTAAATTTAAGCAGCTGTAAGGGAATCTCTAAGAGAATGTTGTAAGATGTGTAACGAATATAGTCTGGAGGCCAGAGGATGGTATTAGTTACACTAATTTAGACTTCTTTAAGATCTCCCGCTAACTTGGCTAAAGACAAGAGGTCAGATCCTGAGCTGGTATAAATGGGTGGAACTCCATTGAAATTGACAGAGCTATGCCTGTTTACCCTGTCTAAAGGTCTGAACCTCTGCAGTGTGAAGTGTACTTTAGAAATATTAAAGATAGCTTAGAAAGAGATGTGTTCAGACAAAGTAACCCTGATCGAAAATCCTATGTATACAAAGAAACTTCTTTGCTGTGTGTTCTCTGCTTTCAGCCTGAATTGTTCTCTCAGTACACAATTTAGCAGGCAGAAATGAGGAGAAAAGCCCACAGAGAGCAGGAAAAGACTGTACCAGATACAATATCTATCTACTCTTCCTAATCTGTTGTATTCCATATGCAGCAAACATTGATGGATCTCTCTGTAAATGCCACTCACACATTTTGCTGACAGAAGCTGCAGTAGGTGTTCTCCCCTTGGGAATCAAGCAGTGTTCTAAGGATTAATATATACCCATTGGTACACAGGGACTGCTATGATAAACATCCAGAAGAGTGACCTTTTTACAAGTACGTTCTCTGCTCTTAGGCCACATCTACATGGGGAAGTTATTTTGGAGTAAGGAATGGGGAATTTAAAGCGCTATAGCCATTCCACAGTAGCTCCCCGTCTGGATACTCTTATTCTGGAATAAGAGTTGGCTTGTTCCGGTTTTGCTTGATCCACTTCCAAAATGGATTAATCTAAATTGGAAGAAGATACTGATCTTCCACAATAATAGTGTCAGCATGGGGAGCTCTTACCAAACAGCTATTCCACTCCATTTCACCATGTAGACAAGCCCTTAGAAATCTGTGGCCACTTCAGAAGCCACCTACACCCTTTCCATGGCAACCAGCCCAGCTGCAGGAGCATAAATGAGGCAGCATCCACCCTACTAATGGAAATTCAGGTGGATGCTTCAGAGGAACTTTTCACCTCTGTGGCAGCTGCCTCGGTGTAGAGCCCACACAGCGACTCTCCTGGAGCTGCCCAGACCCCAGTCTTCCCATCACACAGAGTTGAAGAATAGATTTAAAGCCTAACCTGGCTCTCATTGAATTCAGTGGGAGTTTGCCTGTGCTGTAAGAGAGAGAACACATTCTATACCAGCCCATATATCAGTCCATAAAAGAAATATTGTAAGCATAGTAAGAGCCCAAAACTTTGCATCTGTCAGATGACTCCCATAATCAGCCAGTGAGAATATTGAAATTCAGTAGGAGTACATGGCCTCAGAAGTGTGTGAGCTACTCAAGTTAGGGATAATGGGTGGTTTTATGTCCTGGGGACTTAACTCTCCCTATAGGTTTTCTCACCAGGCGAAAAAAGACTGGTATGTTAGGTATTATTGCTGAAATAAGATGCTTTTGAGCACCTACACTAAAAAGCATAGTGGAAAGAGATGTCACCACAGGCGTTTGGCTTATACACTTTCACAAAGAAATGGTGATGGGGTGTGCTTTTTACATCCTGGAATCCTTCATTTCAGATCTTGCAGAATCTGATGGGTAGCTATGGTATGCTATGCATTCGTGCTCCCTGACCTTCCTCCATCTCTGGTCTATCTAGAGTGGGGAATCTCCTGCAGTTTCCTTGTTGCTTTGGTTGCATTCCTACAGCTTGTTCTTGTTACACGGATTATGCTGTAAAACAGGCTTTGCACAATGAGGAGTTTGTAAATGTTAACTTACCTTCCTTTTCCCTTTAGCCTTTTACAGGAACACAGAGCTTTCCAACCTCTACCTTACAAAATCAAGTCCCAAGTCTCAGTATCATAATTTGATGTACTACTCCAAAACTGTCTATTTGTGCTGGCACTACCTGACAGATGCTGTGAGGTAAGGAGATGAAAACTTATATCGTTTGTACAAAACTCATGTGCCAAAATCCATTACAATAAAGCACTTTGCTACATTTGTGAACCTGCTCAGGAAGAGGCGTGTCTTTGGAGAAACAATCTAAAATAAAGACATATGTAGCCTTTTTGCTTCCTGGGTGTTGTGCCTTGTTCCCTGTAGTAACA